ACAAGGAATTGTCTGGGCGCTTACGCGCGAGGCTGCATCGATACTCACTCGATGGCGGCCTGCTGTACTACAGCACCGACGCTGAGGATAACCCTCGTGTAGTCGTTCCTCATGATGAGGATCTAAAGTATCGAATCCTCTATGAGGTTCATGATACGCCCGTGGGCGGGCACTTAGGTCGGGAGAAGACCTACGGCTCGGTGAGCTCGATGTACTGGTGGCCCAAGATGTATAAGTGGGTCGGCACCTATGTACGCACGTGTGAGACGTGTCAACGGACAAAGTCCGCGCCAAGCACGGCAGCGCCATTGGCGAGTTTGCCTGTCCCCAAGGGATGCTGGCAGTCCATGAGTATGGACTTTGTGTTTGGCCTTCCCAAGGATAAGGCGGGAAACACAGGTATAGTGGTCTTTGTAGACCGATTGAGCAAGATGGCTCATTTAGCGGCAGTGCCGGACACCATTGATGGTGAAGGTACAGCTTTGCTGTTTTTAGACCGAGTCTTTCGCCAACATGGCTTGCCTGAGGCAATTGTCTCGGATCGAGATCCGCGCTTCACCGCGAAGTTCTGGACGTCCCTCTTCAGAGTGCTCGGCACTCGTTTGGACATGTCCACGGCGGACCATCCGCAGACCGATGGTCAAACCGAACGCGTGAATCGCGTTGTGGAGGATACCCTCCGAAGCGTATGCGCTGAGGCGCCAAAACGCTGGAGCCAGATGCTCCCACTCGTTGAGTTCGCATTAAATAATGCAGTGCACGCCTCGACAGGCTACACTCCGTTCTATGTGAACGGCTTGGTTAATCCTCGCGTCCCACTGACGCCGCCACGCAGTGGCTCAGGGCTTGGTGAGGGAGGGATAGCCGAGCGGCTAGCTGGTGTCAGCCTTGTTGCGGTTCGCAAGCAAGTCGATGACTTTGTCTCTTTGAGACTAAGCGTAATGCGTCAAGTACGCGACGCTATGGCTGAAAGCCAAGACATGCAAAAAGAACATGCAGATGCCAAGGGCAGAAGCAATGTTGAGAGGTTTGACGTCGGTGACCAAGTTTTATTAAACGCTAAAAACCCACCTACTCATGCAGTGTCTGCTGTCTTCAAGACGAAGTTAAGACCTCGGTTCATAGGACCGTTCAAGGTCGTGGCCAGGAAGGGCCTAGCGTATACGCTCAACCTTCCGAAGAAAGATGCGCACGCATCCAGTCTTCTATGTCGGCTTGCTTAAGCCATACCAAGACCCTGCTCAGGTGAGCGCGGAGGCGTTGGCACCAACGGTGGCTGGGACACGGACAGCTGCAGGACAGCAGGTGGTAGAGCCACGGGAGGCTGAACGACAGCAAGTGGTGGATCCACAGATGGCTGATCAACAGCAGGTGGCAGAGCCACAGGTCGCGGAGCGAAGTGCTCGAGATGCAGGAGCAAGGCAAGCTGAACGTTCAGCCGAGCGACTGGACGCTCAAGGTCCGAGACCTGGTTGTGAGTCAACAGTGGTGGCTCTAACCTATCCACAAGGTGGATCATCTCTTCGAGATCGACCGATGGGCGGTGAGCGTGAACGTTCGCGTCGTGGACGCCGGCGTCGTATGGACGCAGACGCCGTTCCGGCAAGTGCTGACTCTCCCCGCGAGAGCCCAGCTGAGGCAAGGCCTCCTCCTGCTCTGCATGGTGAGCTCCACTTTCACGTGGAACGCCTTGTGGCGTGGCGTAGACGCCAGGGTCGTACCCAGTACTTAGTGAAGTGGAGGGGTTACCCTCACTCACAGAACTCATGGGAGTTTGAGGTTATCCTCCGGCAAGATTGCCCTGACGTCGCTGACGCTTACGACCGGGCACATCATGTGCCGAAGCGCCACCATGGCGTGCGACAGCGTCGCCAGGCGCTGGGCGCCTGGGGAGCGATGAGGTCAGTAGTTGAGCTCAGGCTCTGACCAGTGGCTGTAGCAGCCAGCTCGTACGTATGAGCGGTGCTCGCAGCGGGAGCAGGAGGTGGAGAGACCTCGTAGTGTTAGGGACATGGTCCCGAAGGAAGCAGGTGCTTCGTGTTGTGCTGAACAAGGTTCAGGCACAAGCGTCTCGATAGACGCATAGTTGTTTTGAAGCAACTTGCTCGATGAGCATGATCCAAATGTGGATGCGCTGTAACAGCGAAAGTGGTGTCCCGGACGGGGATCAAACCACTGGTCTTTGGCTTGACAGGCCGGAGCTCTACCATTGAGCTATAAGGGCGATGCCCGTACGTCAGTCCGAGAACGGACTTCTCATGGTATGAGAGGGCTGCGCCCGGGTGGATTTGAACCACCGACCTGTGGCTTCCAAAGCCAGCGCTCGACCACTGAGCTGAAAGGGCGTTGCCCTTAAGCTTGTCCATTCAAGGACAACAGTTCATGGAGCGAGAGGGCTGTGCCCTGGTGGGTTCGAACCACCGACCTGTGGCTTCCTATGCCAACGCTCGACCACTGAGCTAAAAGCGGATTGCTCTTAAGCTTGTCCATTCAAGGACAACAGTTCATGGAGCGACAGGGCTGTGCCCTGGTGGGCTCGAACCACCGACCTGTGGCTCTCAAAGCCAACGCTCAACCATTGAGCTAAACGGGTGTTGCCCTTAAGCTTGTCCAAGCGTGAACAATCGTTCATGGAACGAGAGGGCTGTGCCCTAGTGGGTTCGAACCACCGACCTATCGCTTGTGAAGCGAGTGTTCAACCGCTGAGCTGTTGTCGACGACTCGAATGAGTCAAGAGCATTGCTCTAAGCGGTTTGCAGCTCTTGGAGTAGGCGCGGAGCGCGAGCGTAGGTCTGAGACCGCTTGAGAGCAAGATGCGCGCTGCGCTTGAAACATTGGGCCGTGGGCCGACGACGAGAAGTTGGGCATCAACGATGCGTAGGCGTTTGTGAGCTCACGGAGCTGTACAACGCTGGGGTGAGGTGTAGTAACCTCCGCCGTCTTAACAAGACGTGACCTCGCTGAGGAAAGTTTCGAGAACGGAATGTTCTCATCTTAGTGGGGGAGAGTGTAACGGGGTTACATGGTGTGGAACACACAGGGGTACGAAGTACCCGGAGAGTTAACACTCAGTACATAAGTTGGAGAGTTAACAAGGTCTCTCAGTACGTTGGCTGAAAGCCACACGTTATGCATTTGATTAGGTTTAACTATTCTAGATAGTTAAACAGATACATTTACCCCTAGGCGGCTTGGCCGCAATAATAGTAAATAAAACACTTCTGGTTTTGAAGCATAAAGGTTAAGGTATTAACTTTGAGCCCTGGTCTTGGGCTGTAAGTGTCCTTTGGATAAGGAACTTAGTATTAGTGACTCTTTGAGTCGAACGTCTTCCTCTGACGCTAAAGCTACGGCAGCCCCGCTGCAACATGGGCGCGAAGTGCTGGTAGTCGGCGTATACGTTGATGACCTACTAGTGACCGGAACGGGACAGGAGGCCGTGGATGCGTTCTTTGCGGAACTTGCAGACTTATCCATCAAGAATTTGGGAGAGGCCAGGAGGTTTCTCGGGATGAGAGTCGTGTACGATGAGTCGTATGGGTACGATCTCGACCAAGAAATCACGATCACAGAGATGCTGAATGAGTTCGACATGGGTATGGCGCACGGAGCGCGGATGCCGATTGGACTAGAATGAAGTGATGGATGTGACATCGAACTAGAGAAATTGCCGATCTCCGGTGCGTCCGCGGTTGCGACAGTGAAGAAGTTCCAGTCGCTGGTGGGCAGCCTACTCTGGGTAGCTCGCTGCACAAGGCCAGATATAGCTTTTGCTGTTCACAAGGCGTCGCGGCGAGCGCATGAACCCACGGTCACGGACTGGAAGTTGGCGAAGCGAGTACTGCAGTATCTCGCTGGGACGAAGCAGCTGAGACTGCGGATGAAAGGAGACAGAGGGCGGATGGAGCCACTGGAAGTTGTGGGCTATAGTGACGCGGACTTTGCGGCTGATAAAGGCGACAGGAAGTCGGTCACTGGTGGGCTCGTCATAGTAGACGGGATACCCATAAGCTGGGTATGCAAGAAGCAGACGGGTGTGTCCTTGTCTACGATGGAAGCGGAATTCACCGCAGCGTCGGTCATGGCGCAAGAGCTACTAGGCGTAAGAGAACTGCTTAAGGAGCTGGAGATCGCGTTCGTGGAACCGATGCCGCTACGAGTAGATAACCAGGCTGCGCTGAAGCAACTCGAAGGTGAGGGTGCTTCATCCAAAGCGAATCATGTGGACGTACGGATCAAGTTCGTTGGACATTTCACCAAGGAAGGCGTACTGGGACCGGAGTATCGAGAGAGCAAGAGGATGCCTGCGGACATCCTAACGAAGGCGTTACCGGCCCCGAGACTTGATGAGCTGCGAGTTCAGGTGGGATTGCATTAAGAACTGAGAACACACCGCCAGGACGCAGTGTCGGCGAGGAGGAGTGTTGGAAGATGATGCGCATGCGCGGGATCACTCTGGACGAGGGAACGACGAGCAGCTGCTACTGTCGGAGGTTTGTGGCTGGAGCGTGGTACGTATGCAGTGGGGAACGTGAGGCTGTGAGACCTCCACGTGGAAGACAGTAAGGATAGGATGAATAGGAAGGGTAAGACCGAATCTCACTCTCCCTTTTGTGTTGGAATCCACGACTGCGTTTCACACGAAGGCGCTGACCCGAGGGTCGAGCACTTCGAACACGACATTGTCCTCGATCTCCATCATGACTAATGAGCAAAAGATGGACTACCGGCACCTACGGAACCGGCTACGCTCGTACTTAACCGAACGCTCGCAAGAGTGTTAAATAACCCAATTTGCCCTTTTTATTTCAATGCGATCAAAACCCAACTATTCCAAAACCCATTTTCAGACACAATCTTCGATCAGCGCGAGCGGCAGCAGAGGCGTCTAAGAAGGCGTCCAACTCGATCTCTACGTCCCATATACCCCCCAATATCGCAGCCCAGCGTCTGCTCTATCCGCCCATATCACTGTGTCTGTCTAACTGCGTCTCCAGCTCATGGGGCAGCACTTTCTGTTCCACCGCGATCTGGTGGCTGCTACGGCCGTTCACCACGCAGTAAACGCGCGGCTCTCAAGCGATCTACAGGCAGATCTGGTGCTTATCGGCCCCCAGTGGCTCCGTATCTACCGCGTGGAGCCTTCTCCGAGCCCCGAGAGCGTCGTAGAAGTCTCCAAAGGCCATGTCCTTCACCTTATGGCCTCCTTCCCCTTAGCAGGAGTGGCGGAGAGCGTCCACGTGCTCAAATTCGATCGCAGTCTACTCAGAAAGAAGCATCGCTTCCTGGGGGGCGATGAAGTGCTGCTACTCACGTTCCTGTTGTTTAAATGGATCATTGTGGGCTACGACAGACGCTTACGAAGTCTCGCGACACTCGCCATGTTCTCCTTCGAGGAGGACGCTATCGGACCTGGAGCTACGCTGAAAGGAGAGAAGAATGGCCGAGAACAGCTGCTGGGACTCGCCACGCAAGCGTCCGCCCGCGTAGACCCACAGACACGCTGTGGAGCCATGCTCGTGTACTCGGATCAGCTGGTTATTGTACCCTTTCGAAGCGAATCGATGGAGTTATCGTTCTTCGAAGAAGACGACGAAGACTTTGACGATGGAGAACAACTGCAGACTCGGAAGAAGAAGACGACGACGAGGAAGAGAAGAAACTTGAGGAGCTAGTGAACGAGAGCAAGCACAGAGGAGTCACGAGCGACATGAACAACACGCTGAACGCCTTACTGGACAAGAGCGTCAAGGTCGGAGCCAAGCGCAAGAGAAACCACATGAGTGGCCTCATGCCGAACGACATAACCGGGCGAGAATTCCTCCTTCGACTACGAGAAGTGGAGATAACGGGCAAAGTGATCGATCTGGCCTTCCTGGACGGCTACTTAGAGCCCACGTTGATGGTGTTGCACGAGGAGAACGACAAGAACTCGACGTGTGGACGGCTAGCTGTGGGCTTTGACACGTACTGCTTGACTGTCATCTCCATTAACATGAAGACGAGACTTCATCCGAAGATCTGGACTGTCAAGAACCTCCCGTCCGACTGTTTCCGATTGATCCCGTGTCGTGCACCGCTTGGTGGAGTCGTGGTCTTGTCGGCCAATGCGATCCTGTACTTTAACCAGACGCAGTTCCATGGCTTAGCGACGAATGTGTTTGCGAGCAAGACGGTGAACCAGTCAGTGTTCCCTCTCAGCGAGGCCGTGTACGAGACTCCCGAGCACGAGACGGTGCAGCTGAATGTGGTGCTGTACGACTGCCAGTTCGAGTATTTGCAAGAGAAGGAGCTGTTGTTGACGATGCCTAGTGGACAAGTGTACGTGCTGTCGCTGCCCTATGAAGACACGTCGAGTCGTGGACTGTATGGCTTCGGTGGAGTATCGTCAGGTCGCAATGCGTCGCTGTCGCTACGAATGCTTCGGTCTAGTATTCAGGCAAGCTGTGTGTGTATCGATGACGAGAAGCAGACGCTGTTTATCGGCTCACGGTCAGGCGATTCTGTGCTTTTTGTGCTGGACAAGAAGAAGTTGGTTACTGCCACGGAGGAAGAGCCAAAAGACGAGGAAATGCCGATCAAAGAGGTGGTAATAAAGCAGGAATCTGCCCCGGAGATCAAGTCGGAGCCAGCTGAGGAGGAAGAGGAAGACGAAGATGATTTGTTCCTGTATGGTGCAGCTCCTACGAAGGAAGAGCCTGCAGCTACGAGCTCTACTGAGTGTACTAACGGCGTGGGTGTATCGAGTGTGAAGACAGAGGAGAATGGCGCGCCTGAGCAAGACACTGGCCCGTACGACTACGAGCTGCGACAGATTGATGTGCTACCCAGTATCGGACAGATCACCTCGATTGAGTTAGGCGTCGAGAACAACGCAGACTCGAATGAAAAGCGCGAGGAGCTGGTGATCAGCGGAGGATATGAACGTAGCGGCGCCATCTCCGTGCTGCACAATGGCCTGCGACCAATTGTAGGCACCGAAGCAGAGCTGAATGGCTGTCGAGCCATGTGGACAGTGTCGTCGTCTTTACCGTCAGCAACCAGAAGCTCGGACGGACGGAGTTATAATGCGTATCTGATACTGAGTGTTGCTCATCGTACGATGGTGCTTCGCACTGGCGAAGGTATGGAGCCTTTAGAGGACGACAGTGGCTTTTACACGTCTGGGCCTACGCTTGCGGCGGCGAATCTGTTCAACAAGCAGCGCATTGTTCAGATATTTAAACAAGGCGCACGTGTGATGATGGAAGTACCGGAAGAGGAGACATCCAATGGACAAGAGAAGTCTGGAAAGGCAGAAGGTGCAGAGGACGAAGAGGAAGACGACGAGGATGACGGACCCAGAGTCAAGTTGGTGTGTACACAAGAGATCACGTTGGAGGGCGACGTCGAGTGTGGAGGCATGAACGTGGACACTTCTAGCGTCGGAATCGTGTCGGTGGATGTGGTGGATCCGTATATTCTTCTACTGTTGACTGACGGCTCCGTTCGTCTGCTGATGGGAGACGAAGAAGACTTGGAGTTGTCGGTGATCGATCCGGAAATCGACTACGCGGAAGGCATTTCTGAGGCCAATGGAAGTGCCGATATGTCCAAGTACGGCAGCAGTTCTGCGTGTCTCTTCTACGATTGGGCTGGTATGTTCCTTGAGAACGCGTGGGTAGAAGAAGAGCAGGAGGAGCGTCACGAGACTACACAGAGTAGAGTAAAACGCGCAGAGGACGACGATGATATGGACGCGTTGTACAGCAGCAAACCGAGCCCCAAGGTGGCCACGACGAACGCTACCAAGTCGACGCCAAGCACATCTGCACCGAGGAATGAGGACGGGTCTGTGTCGACCCCGTTATTACAGCAAAAAGACGCCAAGATGATGTGTGGCATGTGCTTTGGAGATGGCTCTCTGCATGTGTTTTCTCTCCCTGACTTTAAGAAGCGAGGCGTGTTCCCCTACCTCACGTTTGCCCCGCAGTCTTTGGTGAACACACTGGAACACTACCAAGTGGGCAGGAACAAGACAGTCAAGTTGTCAGCCCCCGTTCTTGGGCTCAATGCGTCGACGTCGTCAGCAAACGACGGTCGCATCAAGAAGTCGCACACGATCAACTCGCCAGTAGCAGACATCGTCATTCATCGTGTGGGGCCTAGTGAAGGGCAGCACAACGCGCAGTATCTCTCTCGCATGGTGATGCTGGTGTTTCTTGCCAATGGCGACTTGCTCATGTACTCGGCTGCACCAAAGTTCGAGAGTTTA